CACGGAGATGCGCAGTCTCTAGCTCTGCTCTGTCTGCTTTTGCCCAAAGATAAACGTGCTTTTTGTGAAACCCATCCTCTGTCAATCAATCTTATTCTTAAGATTCTTTAGCCAACAAAAAATCAACAACATTTTCGCTTGCTTGGTAGGAGCTGTATTTTTTTTGAAGTGGTTAGATTGTAATGGGGGTAGGAAAAGCCACAGCCTTGATCCAAGAACGATGTTGCTGTGAAATGTCAAGTCTTTTCCTCGATGGAGAGGACTTTGGGGAGTTGTCAGAGAGCGGGTTGCCAATAATTGCAACAAGCAGCTCCTGGTAGAGTGGATGAGGCCCTGCAGAGCTCCACGCCGTCTCAGCTTGGCCGCTCTCGGTGTCTGATGTAGCATCTCCTTGATCTTACAACCTCGATGGTTTGAGCAGGAGGGCAGGAGGCCTGTCCATCTGTCCGTCTGTCCGTTTCTCTCACTTTTCCTTGCCATGAAGAGCGAGGGTAACGCAGAAGAGCATCTAAAGCTCTTTGCCCTTGTGTGAGTCTTGAATCCAAACAGCAGCGCCGATGGAGTGCTGTTGATTATGCTGTTTGGGATAAAATACCAAAAGCACCGAGCACCTGCGTCCAGCAAGGAACCCACGGGACTTTTTGTAGAGCACAGGACTGAGCTGCCCGCTCTTGTTCCCGCTGCATACGGCATTTTTCACTGCGCTCATCGCTGAGCGGTTTTGATGTGTTGAGCAGCTGCCACGATTAAAGATGTTTCTCCAGTGACGAGCAAGTTCATAATTGTGCGTGTTAGGTGGCGATGGAGGAGGGCAAGCGGAGTTAACTGTTTGTGGTTATGTATGGTAACCCAGCTATGTGAAAAGACTGAGGTATGTAAAGTGCTTGTAGAGAGATGAGAGAGGGAATTTGGGTACACGCTGCTCTAGGACTCCCTGGTGCAAAAACTTCACTCCCCATGTAGATTTGCATTTAAGTGGTAGAAGGTTAGCAACTTAAAAATACTTTTTTTCTTCACCAGTATGTGTATAAAAAATATTGACCAAAATTGATAGAGCTGTGTTTAAACTGCATTTATTCTACATAATTTTTAAAGTATGGAGGGCAGTTAATTGTTTCTGAATATGCATGACTTTTTTTTTTGCTTGAGACTAGACTTAAGAAGGGATCAAAAAACTTTGGTGCCTTGGTAACTCTGGTAGTCTCATTCGTGTCCTTTAACAATAACACAGTTAGTTGAAGATGCACGTAGTGTTTATGGATATAGATTAAACTAACTTTAAAGCAGGCCAGTTTAAGGAGACGATGTTTTTATTGATATTTCTGTGTGACAGTGAAGATACGAAAATGAAGCAGTAATCGATAAAGATCACTTTTTTCAATATTCAAAAATTCAGTTTGATGAGAGCTTCTTCCAATAGAGCCTCTTCCCTGATGAGCTCTAGCTATGTACAATGAGACTTCGTGTGACCCTACAAGGATCATAAAATTTGATCTGATGTTAAGACCAAAGTAGTCAGTGTCTGGGGTTTTGTTATGTATTTGCATAAAAGGCTATTTTGTATATTTGTAACTCAGAAGATCATTACGGAGTTTTAATCATTCTCAGGAACTTACTTCTGTACTTGAAGGGCAGATTTCTGAACCTGTGAGAAGGCGATGCTGTCCCCTCCACTTGTAACAAAAGCTAAACCTCTGTTTTCAGGAAAAATCCCGACCCTGCCCAACCTTAATCATGGTTACAGTGGCACGAGTCACGAACAGCAGGCGACCGGACGGGCTGTGTACGCAGCGGCAGTGCTGCTCGCCCTGAGCCCCAGCGCTGCGCTCGGGAGCGGCTGTCTGGTATCGTAACGCTAAATTTTCTGAAAGTGGATCCAGTCACCTACAGAGGTGGTGATCTTAAGCCTCCCAACTAATACTTTTCTTTTTCTTAGTTAGTTTTCACTTCTAAATCATAAAAGGTTTTCCTCCGTCCCACATGCAGGCCCCGTGAACCAAAAACCTCTGCAAATCCTGTCTCTGGCTGCCGTGGGGCTGCTGCAGCTGCGTCCCTGCTCGACGAAATGGTTTGGAATTGGGCAGGAAGAAAATATATTGGATTAGGAGAGCTTGAGTTTGCTTAAAAAGACTTGCTTCCTGTGGTCAGAACTTGAAATTTCCTTGTGGTAACCAATTCCATCTGTCTGTGGGTTTTGTTTCTGCTAATTGTTGTTTTAAGGGGATGATTTAGAAGTGCTTTTTTTTTTTTTTATTGACTGTTTGTGTCTACAAACCCCAACCCTGCGAGCAAGCACTCTGCAAGGGCAGAACCAGAAAATCAGCAGCTTTCCATTCCTACTGGGCGCCATATTTGTCGGAATAGTTGCAGCTTTACTGGATTCCAATTTCTTTTTCAAAATCTCAACCAGAAGAACAGCGCTTGGTTTGCACACCACTTTTGCTTGCAGTATTTTTGGGCCTCCACTGTGTGATAGCCTGTATATGTGGGTGTGCTGGTACGTGTACCTATATGTGTGTGTGTGAAAAAGTGAAACATCAGTTTAAGCAGCTATGTGCAGGTGACAATAAGCAACTAAATAGGGAACCTTAAGCTCAAATATAATGTGCATTGAGCTAAATGGAAAGCATTGGAGTGGCACTGGGTGAGCTGTACACTGGCTAAGTCAGTGATTGATGTGCCATTAATATTAAGTTGGTCAGTGTCTTTTGACATAGCTGGTTTTTGTGTAATTTGGTGTTTTAGCCTTGGCAGTATTGAACAAACCCCTACTCTGCCCGGTTTCTCTCCAAGACTTGTTTCCTATCAGCTTTCACGCCAGAAAGGCTGCTTAAGGCTCTTCATCCAGAACGGGATGTTATGCAGACCTCGCTTGCGGTTTGTCATAATTTCTTAGGAAGAGTTTGATGGTAGAAAAATTCTCTGATAGGAAAGAAACAGTTTTTTTGAATTACTAGAATGGTCGCACCAGAAGTCAAATGTCATCAAAATGTTCGAGGTCACAAAAATGTTAAAAAATAAAACTGCCCTATGTAAATGATACAAAACTGCATTGAAGTCCTTGAAAACTTCACAAGTGTTTCCAGTTATTTATAACCCTTTAAAACTCTTTTTATTTAGATATTGTTAAGGCATTGGTTTAGTTATATTTTGTCATCATCAGAACTATGCATCAGAATCCTTTCTACATTGGGAGTAATGAATGTATTTGAATTATTTTACCAAAATGTAACAAAACTTCCACCTGTTGGGTTCCTTCCACTGTTGGGCATGTCAGTCCTCAAGTTTTGGTACAGAAAGTAGGTTTACCGTTGCTCTATTAGATCTTCTTCGTAAAGACGTGGAGAGGAAATCCTCTTCGTGCAAGACACTTGGAATAAATTTTTTAAAAGCAAAAGATGAAATAGTAGTACTGATGAAAGAGTCTCTAGCAAGAAGAAGTTGGGTTCAACAGGAGAGAACGCTTCCTGACGGCACGCCGGGACGCTGCACGTGGTTCCCAAGCAGGAAGCTCTGCTGTTTAAAATGAAATGGAAGAGCATGCTCTCTTATGATGCTGTCTTCTGAGGAGAATTGTGGAGGAAAATACAACGTATCGTTGAGGAGAGCAGATGCAATCCAGCCGTGATGAGCTTGTTCCCCGTAGTTTGGGGTTTCACGGTTTTTCCTGGACTCTTAAAATATTGAATGTTGAAGTTTCCAGAATAATTATCTTTCACTGAAATTTCAATAAGAAGCGTTTCCATTGTAAAGGCTGTGTAGACGTGGTAGGTAATGTTAGATTGCTAATCCTGTTGTTGTCGTTTCAGATTTGATGGAAATTTTAACACCAACGTGTCTAGAACTATTAGCTGCGATAGACTGTCTACCACCGTCAATAGCAGAGCCTTCAATCCTGGACGTGACTTAAATTCTGGTGAGTTTGTACGGTTTGGAGTTTTTTCCGTCTGTTGCAGGGTTGCTTTTTTCCCATTAGACTTGAATGTTTCCTTCGCATAGGGAATTAGCATTGATTGCCATAGCAACGAGCTTTTATTTCTCCTTGCAACTGTCACACTGCTCTTAATTTGAGATTTTATGATTGAGGGATGATACCTAAAGTAATGCCCATAGTCTAAGTACTTTATAAAAATGTCATGAAGATTTTATTGCAGCCTACCATGGATAATTTTGTTGTGATTTATGCACTTTTTTTTTTTTTTTTCCCCCGAAGCACCTTCCTTCCTAGGCCTGTCTGCTTTGGCACCAGCAGTGTCAGCTGCTGAAGGGGCCGTTGCAAAGAAGTTTCTCTGATCTTCTTAGCTGAGTTCAGCTCATGTGAGGCTGTGTTTGCAGCGATATGCAAAAATTGCAGAATAGAAGGACATCCTAAAATATTTCCTTTCTTTGTCTTGTCAGGGCATTTCCATCTTGGCAGTCAGTGCATTCGCTTGACACACCGAAAGAGCTAGAAATACGCTTAGAACCAGAACACGTAGGACTTAGCCCTGAAGAATTCAGCTTTTGGTCCTCCAGTGCAGCAAGGTTTACTTTTTTTTTGCATTCTGGTCAACTTGAATTAATACATGGATTTCAGGTTTTTTTTAGTCATAGTTTTATCCAGTTGTTCCATCTTACTTTTCAACTGTTTACGATGCTGTGGTGTTGTAAATTGGAGAACACTATAGACTTGGGTTGTGGATTTCATGTAGCAGAAGTTTTGGTGTGTTTTGGTTGTTGATTTTTTTTTTTTTTTTTCTGGAGAAGTAATGCAGACTTGAGAGAATTTTTTAATTATTATTTTAATTTTCATGTGTCTTTTGGAATAAAATACTGATTTATTTTGAAGTGGCAGACCTGCCATTCCACCCTCACCATGCACAGAACATTTGCAGCAAACAGCATGAAAGAACCCCAAATTTCTCTCTGACCTCTCTTACTGTGTCCCTTCTTACAGCTTTGCTCTCCGGATTTCTGATGAAATCCAAAAAGAACAAGTAAAAACGGAAAGCAAACCGAGCAGTTCCCATAGGTTCCTTTCCATCCCCTCCGCTGTGTCCCACATCTTGAGTGCAGGTGCTGGCCAGGCGAGCTGATTTCCTGGCACGCGTCTGGGATCGCCAGAGCTGGGGTACTGGTTTCCAGCCCAAAGATAGGCAGTCTTTGTTCACTTGCTATGGTTTGCTGGGCTTTGTTTTACTTATAAGCTATGTCTTCATTAAAAATAAACACGCAAGCAAACAAGTTATTCGTATTAAAAGAATGTTCAAAATCGCATGCAGTTGTTGATTAATTACAGTCATTTTTGAAAGCAAGTTTTCAGGTGCTGTTACCAAAGCATTGAATGAATCAAATTTTTTATTTAAGTAAAAAAAAATATTCTTTTTCTACTGCAGAAGATGGATGTAAAAAAAACATTAAAGAAATATTCCTTCTTCTTGAGCGATTGAAAACAAATAAGCTGTAGTTTCCCTTAAACATTTTTTTAACTTCTGGTTTGAATTCACAGAAAGCCGGTGAGCGCGTGTTCAAGCTGCTTGCTGTCCTGGCTTGACAGTAAGACTGGAGTGCCTCCTCTTCCCTTGCCTCCGGCTTGAGAGCTTCCTGATGAAAGGAGCATCTTTGAAACATGGCGTTGGCAGAAAAGGGCAGCAGAATAGAAGAGGGAATTGGAGGAATAGTAAGAACAGGGAATTGCTGCTGGATTTACTGACAGCAGACTCTCCTCTGCTTTCCTGTCAGCAGCTCTCAGAAACGCAGCCTTGAGGGGGAGTTGTTTTATCTGTGAAAAAATGCCTGTAAGAGAGAAATGGAGTGGAAAGACTGGATTAATGCAGAAAAATAAGATGGAAACAGGTTTATTGGAGAAACCAAAGTTTATACTGGGTACACACCTAGTGAAAGTAAAGGTTAGTTTTTCTGTAGGTGAGCTACAAGGAATACCCGTAGTCCTCACCTCCTTGTGCGAAGGTGTTTGAAAGTCTGGGAGATGATGGTTCCCACCTTCCCTTCCCTGGTCCTCCATTGAGAACATCTCAACCACGTGAGCTCCACCACCCCAGCCACAGAACGGGGCACTGGTGTGGCATCAGGGCAGGGTTGCTGCCAGGAGGGTCGAGCAGAATAATGCTGGTGTGGAGCTGGACATCGCCCACGTCCAAAGCAGTGTCCCTGTGGTCACTGCAGAAGTATTTGGGGTTTGGAATAAACTGGGTGTGGGAAGGCTTAGGGGCAGGAGGCTGGGTGTTTGTTTTGCGGGTGGAGGCTATTGTGCTGGTGGTATCTGCAGCGCTTGCTTATGTAGTGATGGACCAAAAAAGCGGTCTCTGCCCAGAGGAATGCATGGTCAAAGAAAATAGTTGGCTTGAGACAGACTGGGGGATAAAAACAGACTGGGAAGGAGTTTTGGTCAGAAGGACAGAGTGCTGTCAGCACACCAGCATCCTTACAGCTGTGAAGATGGCTGCCAGGTTAGAAATGGCTTTTAAAAGTATTTACTTAGTGTCATCTGTCTCTCAAAACTCTTCATTTTTTTCTTATTTCTGCAGTGACCTAGTTCTGTGAAACCGCTTACCTTAGAGGATACACTTAGGACAGAGCCCTTTGTCTGCACAGGAGCTGTTTCTCAATAAATCTGCCTGTGTGTATTCATTACTTTAAACTAGAACCGTCTTTGAAAGAGGGTGAAGATCAAGCAAGAAGAAAGTTCCTCTGATCTCATGTTTTTCTGACTGCTCGTGTAAGTGTCCCCATGTAGAGCTAGTGAGGAATACCCATCGCGCTTTGGATTCAGACTCCTACTTCAGCCTGAATCATTCTTCTGCCCTAAAAAGCCTGGGAGTTCTTGGTGCATCTGGGTATTTGATGATGTTTTTTCTCTCCGACCTTCCTTTGCTTGTTTAGACTGAGACACAGGATGGGAAGCCACGGCTTCCCGAGAATCACGTCACACTGCCTTTCCCACTGGATGCAGCGTGGTGGGGAGCACCCCGAGGGCACCGACCTCCCAGGGAAAGGGTTTGCGAGCCCTCTGCTCCTCCAGCCCAGAAGCGGGACCTCTCCCGTATTCTTCTCCACGTTGCCTACAGTTTCCAAAACCCGCCTGGCCTGTCTGTCAGCCAGGTTGTCTTCCTGAATGGGTCGATCATTTCATTCTTAGTGTAAAAAATAAAAAAAGCCAAACCCAAATCCCATGAGTATCTCTCTTCCTGCACGAGTTTTTCAGTTTAAATAATCCAGCCTATAAAAAGCTCTCAGCAAAACATAAATTTAAACTCTGCTGCGTTCGGCCTCGATCTCCATTCTGCAAATGTTAATCTTGGCCCGCTCTGCGCAGGGCGTCAGAAAGTGGGATTAGAGCGGCGGGGTTGTAGGTGTTGGAAGGGAATGGAATCTGCGCTGCAGCCTCCGGGCGAGCCGCCGGAGCAGAGCCTGGGAGAGCCCTCGGTGCAGGCAGCAACCTCGGCTTCCAGTCTGAACGACGTGTGAAGAAGGGTGATGTAGCTCATGAAACTTTCAAAAATAAAGAACGCTTTTTTGCAGTGTTCTGGTGGATTTTTATAATGCAAGGAGAACACAAACATTATTCTTGGGGAAGGGAGGAAGAGGAAAGAAATAGATATACTTCTCTTTTCTCAAGCCTTAAAAAATAATGATTTGTCACGTTTTTTTCTTGATACCAGGTGACTTATTTTTAATGTCTTGAAAGGTTTTGTTTTATCTTGGCTTGAGTTTTCCATTTGGATTACTTTTAGCCATTACTACAAAACAGATAAGGAGGGAGTCTTTATTCTTCAGATGGAATCACAGGCTGCGGTTAGTTAGATGAAGAGATCTATCCTCGCCGGTATGAATAGTCCTTTATTAGACGACAAAATCCTACCCAGAGCCAGGGCATTATGTTATCAGATTCCTTCGGGTTTTTCCTTTTTGAATAAACAAGGAACCAGTAAATCTTTCTCCTTCTCATCCTTCAAAGCGCTGAAATGCCTGTGCAAGCCAGGCGGCTTTAGCAGAGTGCCCTTCCCCAGCACTGTGCAGGGGTGCTACCAGGTTGCTCAACAAATTTCCTCTGTGCCTTGTTCAAGGTGTTGATCATTTGAAATGTGGAGTGCCTTGGTCATGTTCCTTACATTGCTCTTCGTTAAACCGACAGCTCAGGTGAGTTAACGTAGTCAGGAATTACTTGAGCAGAGGAGCTAATACCTCCCCCCGCTTCCAGATCCTTTTAATCAAAGAAGCTGGGCTCATTCCTTAAAATGAACAGTTTTTTCTACTTCTTTGCCCTTCAGAGTCAAAAGAGCTCCCAGTGAGCAAGCTGGGCTCCGGCCTGGCTCGTGCCATCAGCTGAATTTTAATTGGGTTGGAGCTGCAGAGCCTTTTATTTCTGGTAAAAACTCGTGAGCCAGAACACAGTTTGACTCAGAAAATCCTGGATCGGATTTGTAGGTCTGGAGAATTAGAGAATGCCTTTGCTTGTAAAATAGTCTAGAATAGTCACATTTGCTTTCTGCTGCGGTTTCTGGGGGACACTGAAGTGACGATTATTTTTGATGGAGGTACTTGTCAGAAGAACTGCAGTACACGTGTTGCACAGAAAATGCGACTTTTCTTGCAGGGTGAGAACGGTGAGGTCTGCAGAGAACGGTGAGGTCTGCAGCTCAGTACATGTAATGCTAAAGAGGAGGACTGTAAGAAACTCTTTTGTGATGAGCAATTATGTTCAGTATTTCCTTTTTTTTTTTTCCACTGACTGTGCTGTTCTTTGAAGATTAATTAGTTAATGATTTGACTGTGCTTTGAAGATGTAAAATGGTATCTAGAAGTGCTAAGTGTTATCATATCTCATTCCCTTTGAAGTTTTATAAACTCTATCACATAGGGCTTTCTTTCTCAAAGTCCTTTTTGCCTTGTGAGATATTTATAATTAGAGAGAAT